CACCCGCAAAAAATCCTGCTGAAGATATTGCCTACTGTCAATCTCCAGAGGCAACTATAGTGACAACCTCCAGTACGTCACTAGAACAGACAGGAGAAGAAACAAAAATCATGCTTTGTGAGAAAGAAAAAAATATGCAAGAAGCAAGATGGAGGAGAAAGAGAAGAGAAGAGAAAGGGAATGTTGCAGAACAGAGTTTGGGCAGGGAGGACAACAGAAGATGAAAAAAATCCAAGATAAATTTTATGCTCAAGAAAGCAGTTACTCTTTGATCGCTGCTGTCTCAAAAGTAATAGGCTTGAACATACTGAAGACATAAAAAGTCATCTCAGTTTTCCTTGTAAAATGATGGAAAACTAGAAGGAAAAAAAAAAGGAAAAAAGTATGCTTTCTAACTCAACATTCTCAGTCCCAAGAAGACCCCAACAGTTTTCCACACAGTAATTGAGCTGCTCTATCTGTTCAGAAGAATTGCAAAAATTTCTTTAGAACTTCCCCATTTGACAAGTTTGAGATTCTTTCTTCAGCATCTTTTATCTTTCTACCCTTTGTACAGAGACTAATGGTAGTTCTCTGCCTTATACTGGGGCTGTTAAAGTTTAGAAAACGGAAATACCATTTTCATGGAGGCCCCAGTCCACTATGAAGTTTCAAACAGCCTTTGGTTTTGACAAAGTCTATGGATAGTTGCTGTGTGTTCTAATTAGTAGCAAATAAATGAATAATTATTGATACTGAAATCAATATATAAGAGCTCCAGTTTCATATTTCAACATATTTTTCTCATTGAACAGAGCAAACCTTCTGGTATTTTTCCATTTCCATTGCTAGTTAAAAGCAAATTTCAATTTCATTAACAAAACACCTTTTTCCCCAAGACAAACATCTTCCTGGTTTGCCTCATCTGAAGCAATAAGAACAATCCTTTGAATAGCATACTTAAATTCTCAAAAGCAGTGCAGTGCAAAAGGCCTGTAATTCACTTCAAGAGGTGAGAAGGTGCTCTCAGTTGTACTAACCCCAAGCTGAAAGCAATGGGAATAGAGTATTTCCTGCAGCTGCCCCAGAAAGGAATCAGAGAAGTAGATTTCTTCGTGATACTGCTAATGATGAGGAAAAGATTACTCTGTAGATGGCTACCGTGATCACCTCAATTATATTCTGTGCTGAACTGGGATTTTATTAGCTACATTCTTTGAGACTTTGTTTTTAACTAATAAGTGAAAATACTGCTCATTACCTAGAATTGATTGCTAATTACCTAACCTAGTGCTACACTCTAATGAGTCACAGAACTTTGGCACTGGTGACAAACATTAGTTCTCTGTTTACATGGTGATAATATTCACGTTTATATGGATTATAGCAAGGACAAATTGGAGTAGCTCTGTGGTCTTAAGGGAGCATGTATAACCCAGAGACAAGAACAAAGTTGACTCATTAATGTTTTGAGAATATCGGTCCATTTAGCTTTGTGTTTAAATAGTCATTGCAATTCTATGTGTTTTCTGAGTAAGTCTATCTTCTTACAGAAGTGATGAAAGTTACTCAGGGTATAGCAGTGAAAAAGGGATAGCTGTGCATTTCTGGAGTGCTTTAAGCACTGAAGAACTATTGTCATTGATCTGCACTTTTACAGCGGATTAACCAATCT